AATCGTAAATGCGTGGTTCTGCCTCCCTGATATACGACATGGCTTCACCAGTTACCAGTAATCTGACCACTACGGCCCCAAGTGTCAACGAAATAATGTCTCTCGAAATGCCAAGAACAGTGGTGGTAAATGGATCAGTTGGCCAGCTTGCAGATACAGTGCTAGCTTGGCCATGCTCACAGCTTGCGATTCTGCGAAATCGGCAAAAAGGTCCTGATACGCATCGACAGGAAGACTCGGCGGACCAGGCGGGAGAATCCAGTGGACGCGCGAAAAGAGTTAGGCAACTATGATCGGGAAAGCTAGCGAAACAATGGAGGGAACATTGCCCTTTCTCGGATCTTCACGTGGGCTGAGTTAGCAAATTTGATACATACCTAGCCCTCTTCGTGATCGTGCAGACTGCGGGTAGTGCCTTAGCGTGCGACTCTAGGTCCTTGGGTACATCCATCCTGAAAGGGTACGATCCTTAATGATGGGTTACTGAGTGCCACATACACTGGCCGTTCCCCTCCCCCTCCGCCATCCCTTCATGATTAATCTCGTTTATCGTTTATCACTTATAGATCATCATCACCCGTGATGTTTTGCAAACAAAAAGCAGAGTGCTCGATTTCAATCCTAACCTAATTTTGCCCTTAGACTTTGAGGAGGTGAGAGCTGACTAATGGATCGTTTAAAGCCCCGCAGAATCAACCGTGAGAGAATAAAGGATGTGTGCGAGAAATATAATTCAATACACTATCTTTACTTTAGCGGAAGAACGAAGAAATAATTAGGAATAAATCTGCCAGCTACAATGTTTCTGACATTACCAAGGTTGCTGCAATTATAACCAAAGATAAAGGAAATGGGTGAACTCACCTGAATCAGACCTCAGATGGTGTGGGTGTTGATCTTCCTCGTCCACGTCCGCGTCCTCTTCCTCTTACCGAATAAGCGGTAGAGAAACTGCGAACCGACGATGCGTCATCGGGATGTTTTTCCTAAAAATGAAAAATCAGGTCAATTACAACGAAAGTGAAGTGTTGTCCCACTTGTTCCAACAATGAGTGAACATAATTTTTTTGTGATACTTGCAGAAAAAAGTGAAAAAACGCCCGCCTAAGGGGGACTGGGATTCACGATTGACATAGAACTCACCACTAGAGAATTTCTATACAACAAGTACGGCTCCCATATTGGTTCTTTCGATGGCAAAATGGGAGGACCATGTCGTTCCAAATACCGCATTCTGCAAAGAAAATAGGTTTGTGTTTTGGAAAGTTTGGGACAATTCTTTCAAGGTAAAAGGTCATTCGCAGTACGAATGAAAGACTCTGGGTAAGACGTGCTGGGAGCAGAAATGCTCCGATCAGAAGTAGTTAGACGTTGTCAAATTGCTTTATTTCATGGTTAGAAGTGCAGGACAACCTTGAGATACTTCGCCATTGCGGTAAGGTCGACGAAGGATCAGGCGAAGAAACTTAGCACGATCAAATCCAATATATCTTCTCTCTACTGCTCGAATGATTTGCACCATGTAAAAGACTATAGCGGAAGCGATGTACGGGTAGTCCGCTCTCCACGCGCGCGGTCCGGGGGTTCAATGCGGCTCCTGCCTAACCATACCAAACCTTCTACGTTCCGGAGACGGTAACTTGGTTGTGGATCCGTCTGGGAGCATAAGAACACCGTACATCGGCTGGCATGTGCACGCCATTATATTGAACACATCGCATTCAATAAGAAAATAAGAATTGTAATGAAAGTAGAATGTGTGCCGCTCCCTAGAGAAGGACTGATCAACGACGAGAACTTTATCCCTCTAAAGGTAAGACTCTTAAGAGGGAGCGGTCAACCTTGAGACTACACTGATACGATATATATCACAAGCGATAACAGAACGGGATAACTACAAAGAAAAAAACAGTAGGAAACTTTAAACTCACACTGCAGTTTTGTCCTGACGAATAAGCTTTGGACTGAACTCCATGATCACCTCAAGGAAAGTGATATTCCTTGGTTTTGTGACGATACCCCGACGGCTTTGATTCGGATCGAAGCCCGTCAGAGCAAACTGGATGCCGTCTCTGAATTCAACACTTCCCGTAGTTTCGAGCGAAATGATTAAGAAAGTGGAGAAAAGACCAAAGGCAAAAACTAAAAAAAACTAAACTGCAACTAAAAAAAGATCAAAAGCGTGTGGCCTGCATCCGATACGTAACGATCTTTTGAAAGCGAGTTAGTTTTCAAACGACTACCCGCGCAACAATGTGAAACCCGGTGAAAATGTGAGGAAATCCTAGAACATAAACAAGCAACAAGGAGGAAATATACCTGTGCACAACGGCCACGGCTTCGCGATTTTTGATGTGATCGTTTCCAAATGCTACAGCGAACCTCTTCGCCAAATCACGTAACTGATGGAACGCATCTGACAGCGGATCAACAAATTCCAGCCCGGTGTTCATCTAGAATATAAACCTTATACGTTAATTACATTCCCAACATAGAACGCACAAACACAAACTTACCCTAATGCTTTCATAAACATCCGTGAGAGATCTGGTGACCGCTTTTGCACAAGCGACAAAATTGAGATCACGACATTTGTACAGTAGTTGTTTCAGTATGTCGCCAAAATCAGTATAGAACTGAAAATGGACAGATGAAAAACGAAAAATGAACTGAAATGGAAATGTCTAAACAAACCACACCTCGCAGTAATATCTCAGAACAAACGAAGCATCTCTGATAGGGAACACACCATGAAGAACCATTTTACAGTACTGAGCCAGCAAGCTTCGCTTCTTAAAATGGAACATATACAGAAGATTCAACTAATCTGGCATAAAACTGCGCTACCATGTGCATGAGTTCCACTTGCTGTTGTTGATCAAGCTGAGTGTCTTCTGATGGAGGAGTGAAGACATTATCGTTGACAAATGATTGCATCTTTTGTATGAAGTCCTAGAACCAAACGGTAAATTTCAGCATCATAGGAATCAAAATGTATTCCATTATGCTACAAGAAGTTACCAAGAAATCGTCACTATGTAAACAAGAGTACACAAAGTTCCCTGCTCACTCTCCTCACTAATGTACAGTCATAAGCTAGGCAAGGACGCGAATTCAGCCCATGGAAATCTGCACACAAATAATTTTTATTCCCAGCTGATCTTTAATCAGAGACCAAGCGACATCCCTAACTAACTTTTCTCAAACACTTCAAAATACGAACTTTGACAGAAATTTCCCCCCCCCCCCACCCCCCCCCCCCCCCTATAGCTCATTTTCCTTCAACTAGAAATATAACATCTCTATACACTCAATCAAATCCTTTTTTCAGAGCTACTGCTAGAATGCACAAAATACTGAGTAAGAATTGGAGCACGGCTCAGAAAGATCGTGCTGACTGAGGTTTGCTTTGCAACAAAAAGAGTTCACCAGTGAAGGATGGTTCGTTGCGGACGGTTGGGCGTGTCAGGCGGGATGAGTTTGGCGCGGTGCCAAACCCGTTCTCCACCAGTTGTTAAAGCGAGCAAGTGATAAGACTGTATCATAGTTCGTATTACTCGTTTTCTACCACTGGTTGTCGCATGCGCGCTTCAACAAGAAGGTAGAGAATGGCTTTGACGGCCTGACACGCCCAACCGTTCGCAGCGAACCAGAGTGTACATCCCAATTTCGAAAGAAAAAGAAAACGAATTAATTGATGCACATGAGAGTCCAGGTTGCATCGAGGCATATAAGCGTAGAAGAAGTAGAGAACTGCTCACTATCCTAGACATTTTCATCTTTCACCAGAGGTGAAGTTTCTTGGGTCCCAGTTGCGAAGAAAAGACTAATGTAATATTTCATGAAGATTATCTCCCATGCCATTTCACAGATGCTCTACAGGGGCTAAGCTTCAATTTTCGAGAACAAATTGTACGCTCACCTCCGACGGTTCTGATCATTGCTAAGCGCGATGATAACGGGTTGGCAACTGTACAAGTGTTATTTTTGTCAAACAACAGCGCGCGGAAATAAGGTCGAAGAATAGTGACGGCTAACGCCATTTGTATCTCGTCGGCAAAAGTGCGCAGACACATGAGATGCCTCACGGTCAGCCACAGCCCTAACTCTAGCCAAGCGCGCTACTTGCCTGCACCCTCTCACGCTCACTTGTTCTCCACTTTAGCTACGTATGTTCGCCGAGATACCTTTTCGTCGACACAAATGCTGCCCATTTAGAATAGCGGGGCAGAGACGCAAATGACATAGCGTAAATCATATCATTCAGCCCCTTTTCTACGCACCCCGAGGAACTGTCACACTTGCAGCAGCCTAACCCATTTTTTCAGTACGTGACAAAGTCCGTCTTCGGAAGAGCGTACAGTTTCTCATTGATGAGTGGACGCATAGAACGTGTGAAACCGACTCGTTCAAAATACTACAACAGCTCAAAACTCAAGAACACTCACGTTGTCGAGTCGCACAATGAGTGGTTCAAGATGTGCTCCGTGAGACTTTAGCTCTTCATTGAACATGATGAGTGAATCATTAAGGCATTGGAACGCCTGAAAATGGTGCAGTGGACGAGTTATAAACAACTCGCAGAATGTATAAACTTACCAATTCAACTCCAGAAGCGCCTTCGCTCAGTATCACATTCACATCGTGCAAGAACTGATCGCGACGCTTTTTCAGTTTTTTCACCGCCTCCTGAATCAAGTTTTAGCGGACCTAAATAGTATGACAGAAGTATGGTGAGCATTACCGCCTTATTTGGTTCTTGATCTCGCACAAGTCGGACCAAATCCCAGTTCAACTGCATGAAGAGAAACCATATCGATTTGTC